TTTTAAAATATGTATCGCTTTTGGACTTCAGAAATCAACAGAAAAATACACAAATATATCATGTAAGAATCTAAAAACTTAAACATATTAATTTATTTTATTTAATAAAAACAATATGGTCTGCTAATATATATAAAAAACTCAATAAGTATAATCTAAATCTTTATTATGAAACCAGACAATACAATTTGTTTGTGGGAATCTGTCAAAACAGAAATTTACCTTTCCAAGAATATAGTATTCAATATTGTCTTTGCCATAACACTCTTATATGCTATCACTCCTATATGCTATCAGATCTATCAAAAAAAGCAAAATTTTAACATACAATTTTGTCGATTGGTTCACTTCAAACATATAATATAAATAAAACACACTTCCGTTGTAGATATAATATGGTATGTTCTCAACAATAATAGACATATAATCATAAATTCTATTTGCATCATGCCAATAATGTGAATCTTGGTATAGTATGCGAAAATACGAAGTTTGAATCGCTTTTTTAAATGCGAACAATAGTCGACCTTTCAGTTGGTTTATAGCTGAACTGAACAGAATAACAATCGAACATAATTCGATTTTTCAGAAATCCTAGGCAAATTAAAATATTCAGCTTGGAATACATCTATAAGAATTATCAAAACAACAAGTAAAAACAGCGCACCACATATCATATTTGAAAACACGTAACAATGATAACCTCGAGATTTTAAAACTTATTCCTCATATGCTATTGCACTCTTCTTGCTCACGTAGAAGGCATGAATGAACTTCCTTATATTTTGTTCTTTACATGGCGTTTCTGTCAAAATGACCAAAACCATGTGAGGTAATTTTACATAAAATAACATGTAAAAAGAAAAAGTTACAATTCAGTATCACAATTATACATGATTAATGAAGTCTGCAGAATGAGAAACGAGCTAAATGTGCAGATTCTGAAATTCGGTATGTAACTCCAACTCAACTGGTTACCGCGATTTTGATTCAAGCCCATGCACCTTTAGTCCAGATCGATTCCTTATTTGTCAAACACTTATTTGCCGAACACCTTCTCAGTAAAATATTGTTGTTGAGTGCCATATCTGAAAGACTTGGACGTCGGTTGAGTGCTGGTCTTGGAGTCCTTTCTCAGAACAACGATCGCCTTCAATCGATTTTCCCTTCCCCTCATCTATCTAGATTGAATCAGACTGTGCGATTTCAATAATCAATAGATTAAAACAATTAGATAAAAAAAAAATCTATTTTAAATACTGAAATTGATAAAAAAAAAAAAAACATAAAATTATGAAGAAGAATTACCAGTATCCTCGATCTTCATCGTGTAGAGTGGGAAATATGGAATTGTCGAAGCGGTGGAATTTCGAAGCGGCGGAAATGAGAGGATAGAATAACCCTCATTTCCGATATTTTCGCTATAAATACATCACGTAATGGAATGATGTACGTCTATTTTCGATCAGTTAAATCGACCGTCCGATTATTTCCTGTGTAGTTGGGCCTTAATTGTTTAGTGTGGTGGGTATATATATTGAAATTCTTTTGTTGGGCCTTAATTGTTTAGCTTTGGCCCATATTTATCTTAATTGAAATCCTAAAAATGATCATTAGCCCACACATTAGTACTAATTATATTTAGATGTCATAATATATGTATATATATTTACTTTTGTTTTTTAATATTAAGACTGTTTGTTTTAATATTGATATTATTATTATTTTACATTGTAAGGTATAACTTAGAAATTATATTTGTAAGATATTCACTGGCGATCACGCAGGTGATAAAGTGTTGATTCCAAGAATGATTATAACTCCATGTGATGTTAGAATTCCTTTCAAGTTCCAGCGTCGTCAGTTTCCCATTATGGTCTCTTATGCCATGATTATAAATAAGAGTCAAGGACAATCATTATCTCATGTTGGCTTATTTTATAAGAAACCAATGTTTAGTCATGGTCAGTTGTATGTTGTTGTCTCCCGTGTCACTAACAGAAATGATTTGAAAATCTTAATTTGTGGCGATGATGACGTGCCAAAGAATCAAACCATGAACGTCGTATATAAGGAAGTGTTCAATATATATAGATTAGTTTTTCCCAACAATATTATTAAACACATGATGTTTCTGTTAGTAAGTACTTTGAATTGTAACTAATATTTGCTTTTTAAAACGGAAGGAGATAATTAACCCCCGTGCATCGCACGGGCTCTGTACTAGTAATATATAATAAGGATTAGCATAATTCATTTTTAGAAATAATTTTTCGCCAATTTCATTAATTATTATCTAAAAATAGTAAATTAACAAAATCTCTATTTATTAACATACATTTTTTATCCAATTTTTTTTAGGATTACAATAACAAATATGGAATCAAAATCAAAATAAATCTAAGAAATACACTTACCATACTTAATACATTTAATTTAAGAAATACACTTACCATACGTATTTTTAAAAATTTTTAAATTACAATATAAAACGTTTAATTAATAATTTTTAATTAAAGTTTCTTTTTAATAATCAATCATATTTCTAATAATTGTTAGAAATAATTTATATATATATATATATATATATTAGTATTTACGTGAAAGTAACATATATGTTACTTATATATTAACATACATGTTAGCATATATGTTAATCCTATATACTAAGGATTAACATAAATCAAATTTAGAAACAATTTTCCGCCACTTTCATTAATTATCTCCTAAAAATAGTAAATTAGATTTTTCTTTCCTTTTTCTTATTAATAACATCAAATACTTTTATATTGGTAAACAATAAGAAATCAAAATCCGAATAAATTTTCTATTTTTCCAAACAATTTGGAAATCCAAATGTAAATCCGAATAAATCATGATTTTAGAAATCGTGATTTCCAAACAATTTGAAAATCAGAATAAATCTCCAAGGAAAATCATGATTTGTATATATCATGATTTTAGAAATCTGTTCAAAATTTTTTTTGCATGAATCTGAATCATAATTCATTCAACCTATTATTATATTAATAAACATGCTAAGATTTGTATATATCAGATTTATAAAATCATGATTTGTATATATCATCTTTTCACCAATTAGACTTTTTTTCTTCATTATCGATATGAAAAGGAAAACGAATTTTATATACCTTATCGGTTTTGATAATACAATGTTATAATCATTATCATTATTTATTTTAAGAGATAGTGTTTGTCATTTATTTGATTTCAAAAGATGAAAAAATTTTCATAGTTTAGGTCTCTTTTTATTTATGCATTTACACAAATTAATTTAAAAACTCTAATAACGATTGGCAACAAAATTTGTTATATATTCATTCAAACCAAGTAATTAATAAAAGAGTCCATCAATCACGAAATTAAAAAATAACACACGATTACTACATTTCAAAGATTAAGTTATTTAGATAAATATTCATTTATATTGTCATGACGATAAACAAAAGTGAGTGTCAATCTTAGAAAGTTGATGTTTTCAACTGCTATATTTCCAATGGTTTTTTTACCGTAGGAATTTCCGTTTGAATATGCAAATTCCATTGAAATTTTTATTTCTACCCCGTCGAAAAATCCACCGTTGAAATCGTCAAAATCCAACGGAAATTCCAATGGAAAATTCATTCCAACTGAATATTTAGATTAGCAACAGATTGGTGACAGATGGAGTTCCGTCAAGGTCAACATTTATTGTACGTTGGCATGTTAAGTAATAGATCAAGAAGAGTCAAATTCAACATTTATTGTACGTTGACATGTTGTTAAAGAAATTGATTTTTAGTCACAGACAATTATGTTGTTTGTTTCGCGTGTAAATAATAGAAAAGTGTTGAAAATATTAGTTTGTGTGGATGACGAGTTGCTCAGTGATTAAACAAATAATGTTGTGTACAATAAAGTTTAAATAATATATTTTTTTGCATGAGAAACATTTTATGATTTGATAATTTGTCTACGAATTAGCACTCTTTTGTCTATTGATGCATTTTAATTTTTAATATTCTCCAAAGTAAATACAGTCCGTGCATCGCACGGGTTACATACTAGTATAAAATAATAAAAACTATTATAATATAAGATGGCCAAATAGTAAAACTAAAAAGTCTCGTTTTTAATATAAATAATAACACAATAGTTTAAAAAGTATATAAAATTTAAATAAAAAAACGTCTCTTGTTTTTCAAAATTTTAGTATATATATATTTTTTTTAATTAGCAGGAATGTGCTAGTTATTAATTAAAAATCAATATGTTCGACTTATTGAGTATCGTGCCTCGTGTACAAAGAAAATCCTTTTGCTTCTAAGATACTGTTGAATTGTACATACATTATACAACAAATCATCTGCCTCTTAGCATTACTGTAGGTACAAACAAATCATTTGCCTGTTAGCATCAAGTTAAATTTTTCATTGCCAGCTTCCAGTGACCCTGAAATGGTCCTTTCGCATTCTTGAACAAACATACGCACAACGATTTAGTTCACTGAACTCATGTTCACTCATGGCAAGCGAACCAGTGTTCGCGCACGCCAATTGTCGGACAAGGTTCAATGGTAACCATAAATCGAAATTAAAAGTGCCCCCATTCCACAATGCACAACGAATCACAGTCAAAACCATTCGACATCATAAACAAAAACGATCAATGCACGTCAATCCATTAACCATTGGAAGATACTTTATTCCAGTTTGAGAAGTTCCGTGTGACCGCACACTTCTAAACAAAAGTTAACTGGCTGCAATGTTATGTCCTAGGGATAGAGAGCTATTTTTCGCCTAATCTTTAAGATCAAAACTCATCAAAATTCATTTCAACCCCCACAATTCGGGCCGCGGATCATTGTAGTTTTATACACACCAAGCACACAACATTCAGTTAGTGGAAGTATGTGATGTGATGTTATCTCCAGTTTTTTTTTTTTTTTTTTTTTTTTTTTTTTTTTTTTTTTTTTTTGTTTTCTGGGTCCAGGTAAGGGTTCAGCTAACTGGTTGTTGGTGGCTCCCGTACATGGGATATGGGGTGTACGGGGCTCCATACACGCTTGGGTCGTGAGGCATAGCATATCCATATCCGTCAAAGAAAGGTGGGCCATAATAGGCGCCCGTCCATTGATTTCCAAAATCAGCTCTCGACTGCAAATGGGCAAAAAACAGTAAGTGGGTAAGAATGTGTTTGCAAAGACATTATGTTCTATAAGTGATTGATTTATCTAACCATTGGAAATCAAAAGTGTTTGTGAATACAAGTCAAGCAAAGGGTTGTAAATGAATCGAATCAAAGCGAATACTAAGATAATCAATTCGGATTCGTTAAAATATTCGAAAATTCAAATTCGTGTTCCATTGTAAACGAACTCATTTTTTTATTCGCATTCGATTTGTTTAGAATATTCGAACATATTCAATTCAATTCGAAATTCGTTTTTAGAAAAGTATTATAATTAAATAGGCTTATAATTGCAAAAATATTGTTTATGTTTTTCCTATCCAATTTGAGACTATAAGGAAAATTGGTAATTTGGGATGTTTTTTCTTTTTATTTCATAAGAATATTAGGAATATAATATATATATATCGTTAACAAAATGTATCGATTATATAATTTATATAATTACCATTACCGAATCGAATATTCGATAATTTCGAATCGAATATCTACAAATTCTGATTTGAATTGTTTAACTTTCAAATATAAAACATTTATTCGTATTCGAATTCGAATCACGAATATTGAACTCGAATAAAAAAAATTGCTTTGTTTACAAGTCTAGCCAAGCATTAATTACTAATTAGTCAACTGAGTGAGCTCGACGAACAAGTTGTGCAAGAGCTTTCATGATAAAAGTCAACGAAGAAGTCCCATATTCTGATTATATTATGCAGAATGAAAAGTTTCTATCACCAAAAATATGACATCTTCTTCATTCCTTTTTCTAGTGGTTACCAGCACTCACTAAGGGAAAGAACATACTTCTACTGACTCAGTCGTAAGTAGTCAATACAAATAGAACAGTAGGATTAGGTGTGTGGTTTAACCCATTATGAAGAATGGATTCCATCCTCCGACTTATAATAATCAAGCTTGTTAAAAATAACATTATTGAAACTAAGACAAGGCAGAAAGAATATTTGCCTGTTTGTTAGCCGGATTGCGTCCCCAAGAAAGTCGAACAGTTTGCTTTCCGATAGTTGTACCACTTAAATGGTGCAAGGCTTCCGCGGCATCATTTCTGTCAAAAAGTTGTTTTTGTTTAATCAAATTGTTATTATATCTAAAATACCTTATACTGGAACAATAGAGGGTAACATTTTTTTAAATATTAAATTATTTACCTGTTAGCAAATTGAACAAAACCACATCCTTTTCTGGCTGGTATCTTGACTGACAGTATTTCACCATATTGCGAGAAAGGCTGCCTGAGATCCTCGTCAGTAGCATTAGGGTCAAGTCCTCCAACAAAAATCTAAGAAAAATTCAAAGTTTAGTCGAAAGGACATCGTAAAGCAATATCATGAAGGAAAAAAACAGACTGAATAACCGACTGTTGCATTCACAGAATCTCCATCAGACCGAGAACCCAGTGCCGAGAAACCATTCGGATATCCACCTATCGGAAACAAATTTTTTATAGAAAATTAACACAAAAACCTCAACTCAAAAAACTAATGCAGCATCAATATAAATTCTCAACAGGTACAAAACTATGGACCATTCTTGTTTTAAGAAGTAGCAACAAAAAGAAAAAGAATGAGCTTTACGCAATTCACATAGTTTCACAGACATCTAACACAAGCACTTTATAACCTTGTTTTGTCTCAACCAGGCCTATTATTTCCGTTTCTCAACTGGGAAGCAAGCCCAATTCTTAACAAGACAAAAAGTACATTACATAATTCATACATAACTTCCCACAGACAAACACAAGAACACAACATAAAATTCCAAATTTCGGCAGCTAGCCCAATTACTATAACTATTATTATTATTATGCTTTAACATTATTTTTAATTTTTATTTTCATTTTTGTGGTCTCTGTTTGGTTCTCAATTTTTTTGTCAGTTTTGAACTAGGGAGCTCACCATGAGCCTTGATTCAAGAACATAAAACATAATCTAGAGTCTGGACCCTCCAAAAAAAATAAAAAATAAAAACCATCAGGCAGGGGAGGATTATAATTAAACCTTGGACCGAGTAGTGCTGCTGGTAACCAGGCGACTTCCTGGGTGTGGCAGCCCCTATGCGCATCTTCCGGCTCGAGCAGTAAACGCCATTCATCTCCGTCATAGCCTTCAACCTCTCGGTATCATCCCCAAACCTAACAAAACCATAACTCTTCGAGCGGCCCGTGTTGGCATCGACCACGACCTTGGCAGCCTTGACGGACGGGTACTTGCTTGAGAAGGTCTCATGAAGGAGGGCATCTGTGACATCAGATGCCAGGTCACCAACAAAGATGGACAAATCGGAGCCCTTGGTGCTGTTTCCATTGCCATTGATTGTGTTGTTGGAGCGCTTGTCACCCATGCTGAAGGTAGCCCAGTTGAGGCGGAAGAGCTGGTCGGTGTTGGGCATAGCCAGGCCAGAGAAAGTCTGAAGGATCTTCTCGGCCGCTGAGTGGGACGAGAACTCCACAAAACCGTATCCTTCAGATATACCTGTCTGCTTGTTGCGGATCACCTTTATGGATTTCACCTGCACACGTACATGAAAAAAAAAAGTGATCACCTTTAGAATACAT